ATCCAGAGAAAGGCATGTCAAAAAAGTTATACATTGATTTGCATGTCAATGAGTGAAATAAATATTTGATCCCCTATCAATCAGCAAGATTTCTGGCTCCCAGGTGTCTTTTAAACAGGTAACCAGCTGAGATTAGGAGCACTCTCTTAAAGGGAGTGCTTTTAATCTCAGCTCGTGACCTGTATAACAGACACCTGTCCACAGAAGCAATCAATCAGATTCCAAACTCTCCACCATGGGCAAGACCAAAGAGGATGTCAGGTACAAGTTTGTAGACATACACAAGGCTGGAATGGGTTACAAGATCAATTGCCAAGCAGCCTAGTGAGACGGTGACAACAGTTGGTGCAATTATCCGCAAATGGAAGAAACACAAAATAACTATCAGTCTCCCTCGGTCTGGTGCTCCATGCAAGATCTCACCTCGTGGAGTTTCAATGATCATGGTGAGAAATCAGCCCAGAACTACACGGTAGGATCTTGTTAATGATCTCAAGGCAGCTGGGACCAGAGTCACCTAGAAAACAATTGGTAGCACACTATGCTGTGAAGGACTGAAATCCTGCAGCGCCCGCCAGGTACACCTGCTCAAGAAAGCACATGTACAGGTCCGTCTGAAGTTTGCCCATGAACATCTGAATGATTCAGAGGAGAGCTGGGTGAAAGTGTTTTCGTCAGATGAGACCAAAATCAAGCTCTTTGGCATCAACTCAACACGCCGTGTTTGGAGGAAGTGGAATGCTGCCACATATAGTTTTGGTCAGAGCACTATGGGGTATTAAGCTATCTTCATCACCCTACCATCAGTTCCTGGGACTATCAACCACCCCTTTGGTTATGTGTTCCTGAGCGTGTCCTACAGCTAATGGGTCCTTTGGTAGCTTGCGTAGTTGTGCTCCCTCAAGGTGTGTGCCAGGCTGGACTAGGGCAGTTCAGGGGACTTCGTGTGACGACCCCAGCTTCCTGTATGCATCATTATGGGTCCGTGAGCACTGCTGGTGAGTGTGTGGTCATTCTGGAAGTGGGCCATCTCCTCTAGCCTACCCTAAAAGGGAGAGGGGGATGGTGGGTGCACTTATGTTTGTGGGTCGTTCCAAGAAACCCGATAGGCAGGGATGAATGGTTACCGTATTTGTTGTACATATTTGATCTGATGCGTTCCTATTACAGGGCAGTTTCCTTTTGCTGGGGTGTTCATGCCCCATCCTAATAAGTGCGTTTATGTGTTAAAAATTATAAGTGAAAATTAAAGAAATGTTTAGTAGTAGGGTAAGAGGGAAAGAAGTGGAGGAAAGAAGAGTTGTCGCTCGCCTCGGATGCAGTTCGAATTGGGGGAGTGAGAGGAGGTATAAATGGCCATGCCCCAGAGAGTCGCCCTCCCTCCCAGGGTGTCCCCCCACAGGCTGCTTATCTCTAGTTGCTCTGAGACACGAATGTATACCATGGTCGCCACTTTTCTGCGTGTCTGTCTCTCCTCCCAAGAAGTGAAGCCTGGATCGCCTCCGCCCCCTGAATGTCCTCCACCCTGCGAATCCATTCTTCCAGTCGGGGCGTCTCCGCCCGTTTCCAGTATAGCGGGATCAAAGCTTTGGCTGCATTAAGTAGATGACGTAAAATTGATTTCTTGTATGCGGCAATCGACATTGTTGAAATATGTAGAAGGGGTAGTGTTGCCGCCCACTCGGGTGTTTCACCCAAAATCTCTGCTATTTTCTCTCGGATCATCTCCCAGTATGGGACTATGAGGCGACAATCCCACCATATGTGTATTATCGTGCCTCTTTCCTCGAGACATCTCCAGCATGTCGGTGGTATTGTAGGGAAAATTCTGTGGAGTAATATCGGTGTCTTGTACCAAAGTGCGATTAATTTGTAATTCGTCTCTTGGTAGTGGGTGCTAATGGAGCTTTTGTGTTGCCAGAATAGTGCGCCCTCCCATTGTTGGGGGGTAAAGGTGGTATCCATCAGAGTCTCCCATTGTCTACGGAAGGTGTTGTTTTCCGCTAGGTTACCCACCAGGAGATGTTGGTATAAGGTGGATACGGTTTTGTCTAGCGAGGAGCCACGTTCACATCTCGTTTCAAACCAGGTAAGGTCCCTGTGTAGTTTTTCTTTATTGCTCATGGTGTTGTAGTAGTGGCGGACCTGTATATACCGGAGCGTTACCAAGGGTGTAAGAGGTGTTTCTCCTAGCAGGGAGTTTAAAGTTCGCATGTTGCCATCCTGCAGAACCGTGGAGATGGGTACGTATTCGCGGCCCTCCGCGAATGGCCATGCCGTCGCCGGGAAGCCCCCTCCTATTGTTGGGTTGTAAGTGATGGGAAGCAGCGGACTTGGTACAGGGGAGATATGGGGTTGATCTCTCATGTGGGCCCAGCTGGTCAGCGTCTGAGCTATAATCCCTGTTGACTCTCCTCCAACCCTTGTTCCACGACCCCCTGTCCATATAGCTGACTTTAAACGGGCTTCTCGTCCTTCTCTGGTTAGGGCTACCCATTGTTTCGGGTGTATATCATTGTGCCATTCTAATATCCGTTGGAGGACTGTAGCTTGATGATATCGTTTGAAATCTGGTAGTGCCAGTCCTCCCCGACATCTCGGCAGGCAAAGCAAATCATGTCGAAGCCTTGGCCTCTCCCCTTTCCAAACATAACGTTTAACCGCTGATCGTATCGAGTTGAAAAAATGTGTGGGTATAGCTAGTGGGAGCGTCTGAAACGAGTATAGGAGTCTGGGTAGGATGTTCATTTTGAGAACTGCTATTCTCCCGATCCATGAGATATGTGGGTACGTCCATTTCCCCAGGTCTGCCAGGATCGTCTTCAGTAGTGGGTCGAAGTTCAAGGCGTAGAGGTCTTTCGGGTTCGATGTGATCCAGATCCCTAAATATCTCATCTTGCAGGGGCACCATCGGAATGGAAATAGGGGATCTAGGGCCCTGTATTCAGTGTCGGGTATAGTGATGTTGAGCACCTCGCATTTGGACAAGTTAAGTTTAAAACCTGAAATTCTACCAAAATGCTCAAATGTTTCCAGCAGGCATGGCATTGTGATTCGGGGTGAGGTGATAAAAAATAACAAGTCATCCGCGTAGGTGGCCACTTTATGTTCCACCCCTTCCCAGGGGTATCCCCGAATGTCAGGGTTGTTACGTACAGTTTGGAGTAAGGGTTCCAGGGACATAGCAAATAGCAACGGGGATAGTGGGCAGCCCTGCCTCGTGCCATTGGAAATCGTAAAGGCAGGGGTTAGGGCCCCATTGACTCGAACTGCGGCCTGTGGTTTGTGATATAGAGCCTGAATCCAGGTGAGGAGCCTGTGTCCAACTCCCATTTTGGTGAGGGTCGCAAGCATATATCTCCACCTCACTCGGTCAAACGCCTTTTCGGCATCTGTAGAGAGGAGGAGAAGCGGTCGCTTAGTCGTCCGTGCCTCATGTTGTATTGCGAATGCTCTCAGAGTGCTGTCACGTGCTTCCCGACCAGGTATGAATCCTGTTTGGTCCACGTGGATGAGGTCCGGTAGGACAGAACGGAGTCTAGTAGCTAAGGCTTTAGTGAATAATTTAGCATCCACATTCAACAAAGATATTGGGCGGTAGCTTCCGCATGCCTTCGGATCCTTTCCGGGTTTGAGGAGCACTGTTATTATGGCCGCCTGAGATTCCGCTCCGAAGTTCTCCCTGGTGGCGACCGCGTTAATGGCTTTCGTGAACCAAGGCATTAAAATGGAGGAAAATGTTTTATAATACCCAACTTCACGGGGGGTGGTTTTCCTGAGACACCTCTGGTCTCAGCGGTGCAGCCTGCTCACGCGGGCGACTAACTATCTTCTTTTTCTCCTCTCTCACTTTCCACTGAGTTGTCTCCTCGTCCTCTACTCTGCTTACCCTCACCTTATCTATCTCTGAACTTAGACTGAACCCCTTGTATAGGTCTCTACCTGACCTGCAACGGAGGGTCATGCCTTCCCCAGGTGTTACCCCGCCACGGCTGGAGGGGAGGGGGTGGAGAGTAGCGCAATGGACACAGATGGCGGACCCGGAGCGCCTTATGCCTATCGCCCCGCTCCTCTGTCTGTCCTCACCCTCAACTGCAGAGGCTTGAATATACCAGAACGACGGACCCACCTGCTGCGGGAATTAAAAAAAACATCGCATATCGGTTGCACTTCTACAAGAAACCCACTTTAGAAAGGATGCTGCCCCCCGACTACATAATAGAAACTACCCGTCGAATTACTTTTGTGATCACCCATTAGCGCGAAAGGCTGGAGTGGCAATCCTAATGGCGGCAGACCTGGAATTCCAACAGCTAGATACATTACATGACCCGCAGGGACGCTATCTCTTTGTAAAAGGAACAATTGCAGGTATGCTTTACACCTTTGCTACAGCTTACGTGCCTAACAGACGACAGGCCCAGTTCCTCAGAGGAATGATAAACAAACTAAACGGCTTCTCTGAAGGAACACTGGTTCTAGGGGGAGACTTCAATGCTCCCCTGGACCCCATCATGGACTCCTCAACGGGACACAGCAGTATCTCGCAACTCAACATACGCTCTATGAAGAGGTCACTGGGGGACATGGATCTGGTAGACTGTTGGAGGACCCTACACCCCTCTACCAAAGACTTCACATATTACTCGGCGCTACACGATCGATACTCCCGTATTGATTATATCTTCATTCGTCAAATAGGCCTTCAACGGCTGATATCTGCCAAAATGGACCCTGCAACTTGGTCAGACCATGGTGCTGTTACTATAGAACTCGAATCACCCCTCTTTCGACCTTCCACGTGGTCGTGGAGGCTGAATGAAGCTCTCCTTCTGGAACCTGAGACGCGAATGCAGATCTCCCAGGCGCTGGAACAATACTTCCGAGATAACGACACGCCAGATACATCCCCGATTTCAATATGGGAAGCCCACAAGAGCGTCATTAGAGGCACACTTATTCAAATAGCCTCCTGGAAGAAAAAGGTAGCCACACGCGAAATGACAGACCTCTATAGGTCAATCTCGGAACTGGAACAACGGCACAAACGATCTCGCCTACTGGAGACATACGGGGAACTGACGCAGGCAAGGAGACGACTGAAGGACCTCCTTACGAAGCGACACCTAAGATCTCTACAGTACTCCAAGGGGTTCTTCTATGCCCACGCTAATAAAGGGGGGAAATATCTAGCACGCCTTCTGAAAGGCAACACCCCTCGCACACAGGTCCGCAGCATAACCCTCACATCAGGCGCCACGACGATCTTTCCAAACGAGATCGCAGAAGAGTTTAGGAAATACTACCACTCACTGTATAATATTCATGCTCACGACGGTCCCAACAATCAAGATGCAGAGGACGCCCGGATACGAAACTACCTACAAGAATCCATCACGAGAACTATCGCTCCAGATGTGGCGGAGACGCTGGACAACCTAATTTCCGAGGAGGAACTCTCAGCGGCCCTGAAGTCATCCAAGGCGGGTAAAGCTCCGGGGCCGGATGGCTTTTCAGTTGGGTAGATGGCATATTCTTTGAATACCTGTCTGCTCTAGGTTTCTGAAATCCCTGGGGGCCATACTTGGGGGGAAGGCTCTGTGGCGTAAGTAGGGCATAAGGGGGGATGATGAGTGTGACAGAACCATCTGTCTGTTTATTGCTGGTGGATTCGTCTATTTCTGCCCCCTTTCGTGTAAATGGCTGTTTCTATAGCCCAGCCATACGAATGACTGTTTTTTCCCGAACAAACCTACCGAACGGACGGCCACCCAAGAGAGAAGTGTGCTGCTGGTTAACCTATTGATCCCAATTAGAATGTTGTGGTTAACCGCAGACACTTCTCAATTAAACGAATTCAGGGTGGTCGTCGTTCGTATGTCGACCACGAGGCAGCGGCCATTTTAAACCACGCGAAAGCCCAGCGGTGTTTGGCTCTATTTCTATGGAACTAAAAACTGACACTTTTTCTGCCAAACACCGCTGAAACAACGGAACGCCTGGCTGCCTCCACGAAAGCATACGAATACCGGCCGTTTGGGAGGTTTGAAGCATACGAAAGGACTTAACCCAGATAGCCTTCCCATGGAGTCATTCGTATACCGAAGGACTGTAAGAACTTTGACTCCATGGCGATTGAACTATGTGTGTGGGATCTGAGCGCTATTCGCTAATAATATGCACTCAGATCCAGGCTATCTGGGGATATGTGATACGAATGGGAAATGTTCGGTTATTTTAAAGTTATGTATTTTTATGTCTTTTATGATTTTATATTTAAAATGGCGACTGGCTTTGTCCTGGAGATAATTGAGTTACTTGGTAATTATCTCCAGGGCAGAGGGGAGGGAATCATAGTGCATTGTGGGTAAAAACTGTGTCTATGTGTCTGGAATGTCCCCATATCTGTCTGTCATTTAAGTCTCCCATTTGGTCCCCTAGGGGAGTGTCCACCAAGTGCATTTAGAGACTGCTGGATGGAACCGAAAGCCGCTTGGTGGATATTATTGTTCGGCGGCTAGCAGCAGTTCGTGGAGTTCCGTTCGGGAGGTTGGAGCCTTTCACTGATCCCGGAGATTGCTGCTTCCCCTGAGTTTGGTTCGTGCACTACGGTTATGGAACGGAGATTATTGGTACTGCAGCAGGGGAAAGTCGACTAAACGGCGGCTTTATTTAAAGACACTGGGGGTGTCTTAACAATTGGTGGCAAGCGACGGGATGAAACCCACAGCACTGGAGGTCAGCTACAAGACATGCCGTACGAGGAATTCAGGCGTGCTACACTTAAGGATATATTGGAACGCCGAGGAAGGTCAGCAAGCAATTTAAAAAGAGAGAAATTATTGCTTTACTACTGGAGATGGATGCAGCTCCGGGAATGGAGAGAGCTAATGGAGAGAGCTAATGTGCCCAGTATTTTGAAGTTAACACCCGAGGAAATACAATTTAACCGGGCAGTGCAAATAAGGCTGGCACATTTTGGCCCCAACCCCTCAGCAGACATCGTGGAGCGTGTGCAGGCAGCAGTAATGGCACACCAGGCGCTCCGGGAAAGAGGAGCTACAGCAGCAGAGGTACCCAATAACAATTTTGCTAGAAAGAAGGTACCCTTTGCTGCATTTAAAATTTTTGTGGAGACAGAGGGAGAGATTGATGGGTTCCTGGCGGACTTCGAGAGGCAATGTGCCCTACACCAGGTACCCGCAGATGAATGGGTCACCATTCTCTCTGGGAAATTATCCGGCCGGGCTAGTGAAGCGTTTCGGGCCATCCCAGAGGAGGAGATCACCAGCTACCGGGCTGTGAAGGATGCACTCCTAGCCAGGTATGCGGTGACCCCAGAAGCTTACAGACGGCGATTTAGAGAAACCAACAAGCAGGTTGGTGACTCTTATGTGGAGTGGGCCTGCAGAGTTCATCGTACCGCAGCCCACTGGATGGCAGGATGCCAAGCGGTAACTGGGGAGGAAGTGCTACAAGTGTTCTTGCTGGAGCACTGCTTTGATAGACTACCTGCTCTGGTCCGGGAGGGGGTCAGAGATAGAAAACCCTCTACCCTACCCGAGGCTGCTCGTCTGGCAGACGAATACACGGACGCCCACAAATTGGATAGTACAGCTGCCAAAGTCCCTGCCAGACTGGAGTATCGACCAGCAGTAACACCAGCTCCTTCAGCATACCAACCCCCAGTACACCGCACCCCAGCCGTACCGCCAGCTAATAACTATGTGCAACCCTCTCGGTTCAATGCCAGGGACTATTCGCAACCAATCCGGTGCTTTGGGTGCAAACAGTTGGGGCACAAGCGACCGAAATGCCCATTGAACAGCGCCAATCAGGCCCAGTCGTGGAGGAGACCAGCCAGCGGGAACCAGCGGCCACCTCAACCTGCAAATCACTGTATTGAGCAGGAGGAGTTCTGGGGCATTCTCCACGAGGCCGACCCAGTGCAAGCAGCTCATCAGGACAACCGCCAGCAACATCGGCAAACCGTGAAGCTGAATGGCAGAGTGGTAAATGGGCTGAGAGACACAGGAGCCACTATGACACTGCTCCAAAAGAACTTGGTCTCGGAGCATCAGCACACTGGGGACACTGTGGCGGTGAGGGTAGCAGGGGGTGCCGTGTTTCGTGTACCTGTTGCCCGGGTACATTTGGATTGGGGAGTGGGCGCTAGACACGTGGATGTGGGGGTTATGAAAGACTTGCCCGCTGATGTCCTCCTTGGGAATGATTTGGCCCCGTTGGTTTCAGCCTATGCCCCGATGGGCCCTGCGGATGTTAACCCAGTGACTACGTGCCCAGACCCGTGCTGCTGGAACCGGCCCACCTGCTGATGAGACCCAGGTAAGACCCTCTTCCCCGACTGGTACCTTAGATCAGGCCCCCTTAAGCTGGGATTCCCCAGGGGAGTTTGGGAGGGAAACCCGGGCAGACCCGACTCTCCAGAAATACCAAGATAGGGAGATGCTGGAGAGGAAGGAGTAGATGGGGAGCAGTATGAGTGGGTGGGGGACAGGTTATATAGGTTCCCTAAGCCTTCCCAGAAGAGTGTTGCCCCTCCGGCGAATCGACAGTTAGTGGTACCTGCAAAGTACCGGCAGGAGATTCTGCGGATAGGGCATGATGTTCAGTTAGCTGGACATCTGGGGTCCCGCCGCACAGCCTATAGGATCTCACAGAACTTCTTTTGGCCAAACTTTAACCAGGCTGTGCGGATGTATTGCAGTACGTGTGACACGTGTCAACGGGTAGGAAAGCGGGGGGACCACCCTGAGGCCAGGCTATTATCGATGCCTATTATAGGGGAGCCCTTTGCCCGCATAGCTGTTGACATTGTGGTTCCACTGGCCAGGGCTAGTCCATCAGGTAAGAAATACGTTCTTACCGTGGTGGACTATGCCACTCGCTATCCAGAGGCAGTAGCGCTGTCTAATATAGAGGCAGAGACGGTTGCTGATGCCCTGGTTAGAATTTTTACTAGGGTCGGGTTCCCTAAGGAGATCCTCTCCGACCAGGGAACCCAATTCACCTCTGTGCTCACCCAGCAGCTGTGGAAGGTGTGTGGCAGTAAGCCGTTACTTAGCTCACCCTACCACCCACAGACTAACGGTCTCTGTGAGTGCTTTAACAGTGCATTTTTGCTTTTATACTAATATTTCAGACCCCGTATAATATACTGCAAGATAAGAAATGCTGTATTTTATCTAAAACGTAAAATTTCCCATGATAATTGCATTATAGGGAAGTGCCCATTGGGACCCAGGTAAGTTTAAGACTGTTTGACTACTTACTCTAGGAGGGCGCCATGGCACTTCTGGAGATGTTGAGATCATGGTGCTTGGAGCTTTCCTGAAATTTGTGAACTTGGGAACTTCTTTTAACTCGTGGGAGTATTGTCAGTCAGGGCATGGCTTTAGGGGAAATATACAGAGCGCTTAAACTAAGTGGGAGGACCAAGAATGGCTGAGAAATTTTCAGAATTTCTTATCTAAAAGAGACTTCAGAACAGAATAAACGGCTACAAATAAGTCGTTCTGAGGTTATTGTTGTAGCACGGAGACTGCAGTCTGAGAAATGAGAAACAAACATTGAAGGTTTGTGCATTTATTCCCTCAAACTCTTGTAGAGAGTATGAAAAAATGGATGTATGTCCTAGATAAGTGCTATGTTTAAAATCCAATCCATGTATTCCCGGCCCAACCATGTGTAAAGTCATATTGACCTTAAAGGAATTTTCTGTCTGGTCATCAAATCGTACATTTATTCTTATGAATCAAATGTTGGACTTTTTACAAAGTTGAAAAATTTAGTAAATGGTTTACAGTATGTCAGTATTAGTAAACATGTGGAGATTAGAATATGATTAAAGGAGCACTATAGTCCCAGAAAAACAAACTTGTTTTCCTGGCACTATAGGGTCATTAGGTCCCCCACACTGTCAGGGACCCTCTCCCGCTGGGCTGAAGGGGTTAAAACCGTTCTCCAGCACCAGGCTCCCTCTGTGCTGGGGAACTCTCCTCTCCCTGCCAACATCAGCTCCAAATGCACATGCGCGGCAAGAGCCGTGCGCGCATTCATGCAGTCCATAGGAAAGCATTACTCAGTGCTTTCCTATGGACGTCCAACGTCTTCTCTCTGTGATTTTCACAGTGAGAATCGCGGAAGCGCCTCTAATGGCTGTCTGTGAGACAGCCACTAGAGGCTGCATTAACCCTCAGTGTAAACATAGCAGTTTCTCTGAAACTGCTATGTTTTCAGCTGTAGGGTTAAAACTAGAGGGACCTGGTACCCAGACCACTTCATTGAGCTGAAGTGGTCTGGGTGCCTGAAGAGGTCCTTTAAACACTATCCTTTGAGAGTTTGGATTAATGATGGGTTCATTTGTAGTGGAAGTCGTTCTGCCTAGTTATGTTCCTTAGTCCAGTATGATTTGGATTTTGTGGTAGCAAATATGGGTGATAACGTCATCACCAAACTCTCTCCAGCATTCATTGTGTGAAATACAGGGTGGGCCGTAATTCAG